AGGCTGCACATAGACTGGCATACATGATTAAGCATAGATTGACAAGATATGATATGCCACAAATAGATGAGAACAACAATAAAGTAGAATGTAGCCATATTTGTCACCAAACTCTCTGTGTCAATCCTGAACACATAACTATTGAACCTCATGCTATAAATCAAGACCGCCTACATTGTAAAAATCAGGGCCATTGCTCTAAAAGTCACAAGCCATATTGTTTAATATGTAATTTAATAAATAAATATTTATTTTCTAACAGATCTTTTTCTCTTTCGGTCATTTCTGCTGTATGAATGGTCACTATGTTTCTGCGGAGTAGATTTCAGTCCTTGATCACATTTTAGCAACATATTTTTTTCATATTCTATTATTTCACTTAGTTTTTCATACAGTTTGGTCAGTTTAGCCCTTTTATCACTTCTAAATTGCTTGTATTGCATAGTCTTTTTGTGCTGTTTTTGTAAAATGTCAACTTTTTGTATTTCTTTTAGAGCCTTGTATGCAGAGCCTCCCACTGGGACTTCACAATGAAGAGCAGTACAAAGTTCTAGAACTGATTCTCCTGGACCAAAATTAACACTGTGAGCAGCTGAATGAGTACGACCGGTAACATTTCTTTTAAAAGTAACATTTGACGGTAAAGAACGCCTCAGGCTACGGTTAAATCCCTCAACAAAATTAGTGTTCATGTTAAGTCTGGTCTTCTCAAGTATATTTGGGCCAAGACGCAGGTTGACTGTCTTTCTTATAAAGTCTATATTTTGCTGTGAGTGTGCAATTTTGAATGTTTTTGGTAGTAGTGACCTTCCTCTAAGCCATACTTTCTGTAATCCATTACATAAAAATGAATGTTTTTACACGACGAATGATTTCCAGTGTAACAGTTGACAATTGCGTCAACGACATGCGATATTTTATATTTGATTTTTTGAAAGTTTCCACTGTAAATTTTCCTTGCCTGAGCCAGCTCGGTATTACCGCTTTCTGTCAAATCCACTGAAAAACAATTCAGTAGTTTTTGTCTCTTCACTTGTGTTCTTGCTGGCATAATCTGTAACAGGTTCTTATCATTCTTCGTACGCTTACGGATATTCTCAGACACATGCCGTGTATCAAGAAAATGTTCAGGCTGAGTACTTGTTGTGCCTTCTTCATACAAGTCTTGTGCAGCCCTGTATGCAGAGCTGTCAGGATCAGTAACCAGGTGCTCAACCTCAATGTTGTCTGCCTTAAGATCAAGGATACACTCTTTGGCCTATGTATATTCATCCCCAATACTTTTGACCATTGGAATGTTGGCACTACATTCATCTGTACACTGTGCATGTAAACGGCCTGCCTTCCCCCCAAGAGTGACTGGGGAATAGAAGTATGGTCACCATTGGTCTTCCTCCGACCGGCAGTAAAACCCGTGCTAAAGTGGGGCGTCCGTTTGGCTGTGCGGGATGTACAAATTTGCAGCCACGTCCGGTCAGAATGGGAACGTTAAATCCGATGCCTCGTGTAAAGAGAGTGCCACGCTCTTTGCACGTTAAGAACCCTTGCAACAACTCTTTGAGGGGTCCGTAGGTGACCTGTTGCAAGGCTAAATTTCTGTCCCTATCCAATATACCCTCATTTCCCGTGGCAGTCTAAATTTCTCCGACCTTAATCCCTTAATCTGTTACAGAACCTACCTATTGTATTTATTGTAAACTTGTTCTCGTCCTGAATATGCATGAAATATTTGCCACTGGACGTTAAGCAACTAACAATCAATCAATCAATGTAAACGGCCTGAGTCAGGATCCACCTCAAGGCTTGAATGTATTGAACAAAGCTTATTTTTTATATTTATGCTTAGTATATTATGGTCTGTTGTTATATTTTCAGCTGTGGTATAGACAGTTTGTGTTGCAGGCTGAAATGGAGTGCGTCCAACACCGGAATACAGCGGATTGTTATACATTCCGTCCATCTGCACACTGATTGTGTTTGGATCTTCCTTCCCTCTGAGGCGATTGATTTCAATAATTTCATTTTTTCTTTTTCTCAGGTCCATTTTATTCACATCTACAATGTTTTTAAGTACTTTATTTGCCCTTCTTTGTAGACTGGATGCTGCTGGTGCCTGCATATTACCACTTAGAATGATTTTGCGCATACTGGAGGAAGCTATTGGTGTCTGACTCAGGCCAACATGTACAGCTGTATCTAGTTTTGATGGTTTTCTGCCTGGCTTTCCTCTTTCTAATTCTTCGTATAAGCTAAACTTATCCGATATATAACTGCAACTTGTACAAATCAAATTCTGGCGAGAAGAGAATCCTCTTTTCTCCTCTTTCTCTAAATCGCATGATATTTTACCCTCACAGGCAGGACTTTTTTGCTGGTGCTCCCTAAAGGCTTTGTTCCACATTTCTTCCATCTTGTAAACACACACCGTACGATAAGAATTGAAGTCTGGAAAAACAAAAAATTGCACATTTACACCTGAATCGAAGAATATTTTCAACAAATAATTTTTCTGAATTAGAGTTACCTGCCCCTTGCTTGGGTATGACATTTTTTAAACTGACTGTTGGACATTTTAACATAGTTTTATAGGGCTAATTATCTCTTTTTCATTTAAACAAAACATAAAATTACTTAATTATAGAAGGAAAAGACAGAGTAAATTCCAGTTTAATATATTTTTATTGTAAGAAATGTGAAATTTTGTGAATTTTCAGTATATTTTAGCAGTTTTAGACCTATTTTGTACTGTGATATTTCTTAATTGTTCATCTGTAACTGTTTTCTCTATTTAAAAGTTAGATTATATATTTTTGCCTTACCTTTTGTCATTTACAGCAGGATTCCTGTTTTTTTTTTGGAACAGAGACCTCATCAGACTTTGGTCGCAGTAGTTTGGCCGCACGAGCAGACCGCCTGGCTTTTTCCTCTGGATCATTTACTACTAAATTGTACTTTTTCATGGTAAGTCTTGTATATTTAGGTGTGTCATAGTCACTTTTCACTGGCAATAGTTTAGTCCTTTTTTTGTTATGAGGTATACTTCCAGCCTTAAATTTAAAGATATTTCCTTTTTTGAACCCAGACATATTGGAATTGTACAGTTTTCACTTTAATTTTTTAGTGTTTGTAAAGTTTTTATATACCCTTGTAAAGTAGGACAGTATTTTATCTTTTTGCAATACAAGTTGAATGGAAAGTTCATTCAGTAATTAAAAATATTTGAGATTGAGCACATGCCTCCCTCAGAATTTGACAAATTCTCTAAACAGGCCATATGATAAACTTTGGATTTTTTTTGTAGCCACTATGAAGACAACCACTTTTAATTGCTATCATTCCTGTATCTCTTATCTTCAGTAATAAAAATATAAATGATAAAAATCCAGAGTGCATCTACAGTACACTTTATTTTCAAAAATATATGACAAAAAGTTCAAAATTTGGCTAATTTTGACAACTTTAAGAAAAGTAAGGGTAGAATCCACCCTGAATAAACATTTGATTCAACTTGTACATGCATAAAGAGAAATGTTAATTTTATAAACAAAAACACTAAACAAATGAACTTTTAATGTTATTTAATGGTAATTTTTTTATTTTCATGACAGCATTCTTGAAATCTGTAGATGAAATTCCTCTGTGGCCGCAAGGCACGGGTTGCTCCTTCATATGGTAGTTTTTCTTAAGTAACTCAACCAATTTCTTCCAAATTTGGTATTTCTTCCTAATATAAGTTCTGTGTTTAACAGATACATTTTTGTCCTGATTCGAGTCAATTTTATTCTTTCTATAGGTTACAAGAGCGCAATTATTTGTTTACATTCAACCGGCAAAATTTTTACCCCAAGATGGTACTCAGAATAAAAAACTTTGAGGCTCCTGATTGGATGATGCAGGTTGGAATTATTTTTTATTTGAAAGCTTATCCATTTAGGTTTGAAAATAGGAGAAAATTAAATTCATAATTCACAATGTGTAGAAGATATAATTTTTTTATTAACTGAGGAGTCATTCAAAATTAACCTTTCCAATTTAGTGCGGAATTTGGAAGCTTCCATAACAACTGATTTTAGGGCACTTTTTGCCGCATGACCATATACTTTTTTTTTGCTGTAATAAAAGGGTGACATCTATAGTCACAGGAACTGCTACCCATTTTTATCTAGTTTGTTTATTCTTCAAGAAATAAATTTTTGAATACCACTGGGGTCCTATGGAAAATGCATTACAAATAATTGCGCTCTTGTAACCACTAGCATTCAAGAACCTGTTTCATACTGCATTTAAAAGGATATGACCATTTTTTTTCTGCGTAAATATTTAATTACCATTTTGTTTCAAATTTCTTGTTTAAATTATTTATTTACCTTTGACAGCCATGTATAGCCCTCATTCTTCTGTAATACTGAGGCAGATAACCTATTGCTCAATGATGATGATCAACCATAAAACCTATAAATACATATATAATGAAAGCATGGTTTTAAATCAAGGTAATTATGTATAAGTGTGTTGAAAAAACAGATTAAGACATTTTTTGTACATAAATTAGGCCCTTAGTTTTCTCGTTTGGATTGTTTAACATTTGCCATTTCGGGGCCATTTATAGCTGACTATGCGGTATGGGTTTTGCTCATTGTTGAAGGCCGTACAGTGACCTATAAATGTTAATTTCTGTGTCAATTGGTTTTAACAGAGAGTTGTCTCATTGGCAATTAAACCACATCTTTTTTATAAGTACAACTGAAATCTCAATACAACCTTTATTGTCAAGCTAATGTGTTAAAAATAAAATGATCCTTTTCATCTGAAATATGTAAGTGATACCCTATAGAATTGAATGCATCTTATTAATACAGGGGTGGGATCAAATTTTACATGCCACAATAGAGTGCTTTCATTTTAAATGTTCTCATTGTTATCAACATTCTTGATTTTGGCCAAAATTGCAAATAAAACATACAGTGGTACAAATTGTAACTAAGGGGCAATGACTCTTATTAAGGGTCAACAGACGATTTCTTCACTGATGTAATAAATTTTCTGTAATTAGAAGTTGATCAAATAGTTTAAATAAACCCATAGCTGTTTTTAAGATAACTGTTCTAAGTAAACTTTAGATTCAGAGGAGAAGACTTATATAATTAAAATCTTAAAAAGTTATGAGAATAACTCACTTCACCATTTTGTTTAGGTGAGCAATAATTGAAAAATTTAATTAAAATAAATCAGTTTGGTTTAAAGTTTTTTTATCAAATATTTACCGTGACTTTGGGGCTTTGCTTGTCACAATCTGGTTGAAATTTTCGTTTCCCTGTGTTGATCCCATATTCTGCAATGTTCCAGCTCTGGTACTATATTTTTCGTTCCAACTCTGGTACTATATTTCTCCATCAAAGTAGATATCTCTATTTTTAGGGCATCATTAGAGAGAGATTCCCATTTGGCAAACTCTTATGTCTATAAGTAAACAATAACATTTGTTTTCATTTGTAAATATATATATATATATAAATACATATTTTGATAAATAAAAAGTCCTTGGTACAGAAAATATAGTTAAAATGTGGTTTTCGCACAATAATTTTAGTATAAGTAAATAGAAATCTATGAAAGGAGTAGGTCCGGTAAGGGCCGATTTTGGCCTCAAAATTCAGGTTCATCTGATGAAAGATTTTGGACACTTTTTAAACACTTAAGTGTCTACTTCAGTCGATTCAATTAGTTTATGTGAAAGATTGGAACTGATTTAGTCATTAAAGACTTTCCAATTCAAGCTTAAATATAAAAAATATATCAAATATGCCATAATATGTCACTTTTTAGATGGTTTTTGTCAAAAATGAAAGTGGCCGCATCCGTGTTCATTTACAACCTTTATATATGTTATGCATTATCATCAAATACAACTTACATTTAAATATTAAGAATGAACACAAATGCGGCCACTTCCATTTCAGACGGAAACCGTCTGAAAATTAACCAAAATGCTAATTTTTTAAAGATTTCAGTAATTTAGCATGCCTTAATGATGCTAGTACCCGATACATGTGTTTTGTATTGTCAAAAGCAGCCCATATTTATGTAACAGAAGTATTCTTCTTTCCAATAAATAGCTTAAAATTTACATTATAACAATTTTGTAAAACTGCTATATTTTGGGGACAAAAAGGGGTCTTACTGGGCCTACTCCTTTAACCACAAGGTTAATGACCACAAAAGGAAGGTTGGATTGATTTTGGGAGTTTTTGTCCCAACAGTTTAGGAATAAGGGGCCAAAAAGGGGCCCAAATAAGCATTTTTATTGGTTTTCGCACAATAACTTAGTATAAGTAAATAGAAATCTATGAAATTTAAACACAAGGTTTATGACCACAAAAGGAAGGTTGGGATTGATTTGGGAGTTTTGGTCCCAACAGTTTAGGAATTAGGGTCCAAAAGGGTCCAAAATTAAACTTGTTTGATTTCATCATAAATTGAATTATTGGGATTCTTTGATATGCCGAATCTAACCGTGTAATTAGATTCTTAATTTTTGGTCCCGTTTTTCAAATTGGTCTACATTAAGGTCCAAAGGGTCCAAAATTAAACTTAGTTTGATTTTAACAAAAGTCGAATTTTTGGGGTTCTTTGATATGCTGAAACTAAACATGTACTTAGATTTTGATTATGGGCCCAGTTTTCAGGTTGGTCCAAATCGGGGTCCAAAATTAAACTTTGTTTGATTTCAACAAAAATTGAATATAGGTGGTTCTTTGATATGCTGATTCTAACCATGTATTTAGATTTTTGATATTTGGGCCCCGTTATCAAATTGGTTCACATTGAGGTCTAAAAGGTCCAAAATTGAACTTTATTTGATTTCATCAAAAATTGAATTCTTGGGGTTCTTTAATATGCTGATTCTAATCATGTATTTAGATTTTTGATATTTGGGCCCCGTTATCAAATTGGTTCACATTGAGGTCTAAAAGGTCCAAAATTGAACTTTATTTGATTTCATCAAAAATTGAATTCTTGGGGTTCTTTAATATGCTGTTGGATATTGGACCATAATAGGTAAATGTCCAATTTAAAAATTTTAAGTTCTTAGACCACATTCTTTTGTGTCAGAAACCTATTCTTGGTCAACTATTTAATCACAATTCAAATTCAGAGCTGTATCAAGCTTGAATGTTGTGTCCATACTTGCCCTAACTGTTCAGAGTTCGACTTCTGCGGTCGTATCAAGCTGCGCCCTGCGGAGCATCTGGTTTACATTAATAGGATTTAATCAAGTGTTTACATGTATACATTCTTAAACACACACATAAGATCCCTTTCTATGAGATGCAGTCTTTTGCTCATTGATGAAGGTGTATACATTTACAGTAAACCTATTATTGCTGACACAATGACAATTTTCCTAAGGAAGACTGAGTTGTCTCTCTGAATGGCAATCTTACCACATCTTCTTATTTTCATATGTATACCAATTTTAAGGTGTGTTATTATATCTTACATGTACCTAAAATTTTCTGAGTCATTCTTATATGTACACCATTCAGCATCTGTACATGAAGTGTGGTCTCCAAAAATGTGTAGGACTAATCAGCTGAAGGCACTTTTTATGTTTTCTGAAGAATCGTTATTTTCTTTGATGGCATACATAAAGCATCGTACTAGGTATGGTATGTTTTCTGGGTGTTTCAATTCCTTAAAAGTTTTAGACAAATCATACAGTTTCTTGAAAAAACCTTTCTTGGTGTGGTTCTGGTCATCTTTCTTTTGCAGTTCTTTAAAGTCTACCTTTAATCTTGCTGTTGTGGTTGAATCATTATCAGCATGGAGAACATGAATAGGACATCCATTATCCTTCAGATTGTGGGTCATCTCTAAAGCCATATCAGGTTCCATGCCTTTACTTGTACCCTGCCAATTCTTGCTACAATCATGTGAAGGGACTGTTTCTTTTCTACCCATATGGTATTCACAGACTTTGCAATTCCGGCTTCTATGAGAGAAGTCTTTGACTTTACTCGTCATTGTACCAATCATGCTGGCATGTCCTAATTACAATATAAAGATTATTTTAAGATACATGTATGCAATATTACAATAAGTCTAATATGATTTGCATATCAACAATTACTTGACAGTGTCTATCCATTAAATTTTCGCAAAGTGAAGCATCCCATGACCACAGGAGAATGCTTCTAAAAATTTTACAAGGTAATTATCATGTTAAGAATTTACAAGCTCCAATTTGACCTTTACATTTTATTTCCCTAATGATAATTGTGGCCAATTTTTAGAGGAAAAGAATATGTTAATGTATTAGTGGGCAACCTATGACAAATTCTATAATTCTTTGTGATGACAACTGTTATAGTCATATGTATGATATTGTTGCATTACAGTTTTGAAGGTTAATGTTTCATTACTGAACTGTCAAGATGAAGAACAGGAATAAAATCCCTGTTTATTGATAATATTTTTTCATTTTGTCTATGTATAGATTGTAATTTTGTCCCATGTACATGTACATTTACTCCATATCCTGCTATTTTTTATCCATATGTTTATATTGCAATATATGCATGATGGCTTTATTTTTTTGTGTGTAATGTATTATAGGGGACATCTTTTTTTATTAATCAAGTTAAAGACTAAACTGTTTAAATTTACCTGTATTACTGTCATAATTTCAACCAGTACCACGCTTTTGCCATCCTGCATCAAAACTAGCTTCAACCTAATGACAACAAGAGGCTGTCAGAGTGACAGCAACCCGGAATTTCCTGCAGAGGTCGAACCCTAAACAGTTGAGCAAGTATGGACACTACATTTAAGCTTAAAACAGCTCTGAATTTGGATTGTGATTGAATATTTGACACAGCATAGGTTTGTGACACAAAATGAATGTGGTTTAAGATCTGAAATACTTGAAATTGGACATTTAAATACCTATTATGGTCCAATATCAAAAATCTAAGTACATATTAGAATCAGCATATCAAAGAACCCCAAGAATTCAATTTTTTATGAAATCAGACAAAAGTTTAATTTAAGATCCTTTGGACCTCAATGTGGACCAATTTGATAAAGGAGCCCACAATTCAAAATCTCTCAATACATGGTTAGATTCAGCATTTTCAAAGAACCCCATAAATATTTTTTTTGTTGAATCAAACAAAGTTTAATTTTGGACCCTGATTTGGACCAACTTGAAAACTGGGCCCAAAAATCTAATATTTAAATACAGGTTTAGATTCAGCATTTGAAAGAACCCTACAGTTGGGTGCAGACCAAGCATTACATGTAGACGGGCCGAAAAAGTTAACTGGGCGTTTACTCGCGTGCACTTCATGTTAACGCCGCGTTAACTGTGCGTTAACTCCGAAATTTTAGTAGACATAAAAAGTAAACGGGCGTTTACTTTCGCGTTTACCTCCGCGTTAACGCAAAAACGGCGCGTCTTCTATTTTCGTCAAAAGAAAACGCACGTTTACTGTTTGTAGTTAACGCAGATTGTCATCGTATCCTGGATACACTGACCTAAAATATCAAATGATAAGTACATCAAAATTAAATGACCAACTGGTCATGTTCGATTGACTTATTGACGATTACCTTTAATTAATAATGTTATCACACCTCTTTAATTATATTGAAAATTAATCATAGTAAATTTCCTTTTCTTCACAAATAAATAGTTCAAGTATGTCTTTTTATTCAAATAATTTAATCATCACCAAAATCAAACAGTTTTCACATCTCAGACTGGCTGACTCAGGATGACTCGTAAAACAAAATTATTTGATCTCATTAACCAAAACTACCCCAAGGGTGACTGGGGTATAGAAGTATGGTCACCATTGGTCTTCCTCCGACCGGCAGTAAAACCCGTGCTAAAGTGGGGCGTCCGTTTGGCTGTGCGGGATGTACAAATTTGCAGCCACGTCCGGTCAGAATGGGGACGTTAAATCCGATGCCTCGTGTAAAGAGAGTGCCACGCTCTTTGCACGTTAAGAACCCTTGCAACAACTCTTTGAGGGGTCCGTAGGTGACCTGTTACAAGGCTAAATTTCTGTCCCTATCCAATATACCCTCATTTCCCGTGGCAGTCTAAATTTCTCCGACCTTAATCCCTTAATCTATTACAGATCCTTCCTATTGTATTTATTGTGAACTTGTTCTCGTCCTGAATATGCATGAAATATTTGCCACTGGACGTTAAGCAACCAACAATCAATCAATCATTAACCAAAACTGACCATATTTGCCCTTTATCAAGTTATCTATATAGCCGCGTAGTGATTCAGTTATATTTTTATGCAAGGATGGATTGTAAATATTGAATCATAACCAAATTTCAGTAGTTTTCATACCTCAGACTGACTCATATAACACAATTATTTGTCCGCATCAACCAAAACTGACCATATTTGCACTTTATTATATAAATCTTATAGTCGCATAGTAAATCAGTAATATTTCATGTCAGGATGAATTGTATAAAACAAATTATAGCAATATTGGAACATAATGACTACAAAAAATTTTCTGCATCAATTTAGAGTACCAGCATGTCCTCTTTTTATTCAAAATATTGAATCGTAAACAAATTTCAGTAGTTTTCATACCTCAGACTGACTCGTATAACACAATTTTTTTTCCGCATCAACCAAAACTGACCATATTAGCACTTTATTATGTAAATCTATATAGCCGCATAGTAAATAAGTTATATTTTTATGTAAGGATGGATTGTATAATACAAATGATAGCAATATTGGAACATAATGACTAAAAAGTTTTGTTCGCATCAATTTAGAATGCCAGCATGTCCTTTATTTATTCAAAATATTGAATCATTAACAAATTTCAGTAGTTTTCATACCTCAGACTGACTTGTATAACACAATTATTTGTCCGCATCAACCAAAACTGACCATATTTGCACTTTATTATATAAATCTTATAGTCGCATAGTAAATCAGTAATATTTTCTTGTAAAGGATGGATTGTTTAAATCAAATTATAGCAATATTGGAACCTAATGACTACAAAAAATTTTCTGCATCAATTTAGAGTACCAGCATGTCCTCTTTTTATTGAAAATATTGAATCGTAGACAAATTTCAATAGTTTTCTTACCTCAGACTGACTCGTAAAATAAAATTATTTGTCTGCATCAACCAAAACTGACCATATTAGCACTTTATTATGTAAGTCTATATAGCCGCATAGTAAATGAGTTATATTTTCATGTAAGGATGGATTGAATAATACAAAGAATAGCAATATTGGAAAAAAATATCATAAAAATTTTTTTTCGCATCAATTTAGAGTGCCAACATGTCCTTTTTTTATTTAAAATATTCAATAGTTAACAAATTTCAGTAGTTTTCCTACCTCAGACTGACTCGTATCATAAAGTTATTTGTCAGCGTCAACCAAAACTGACCATATGAGCAATTTATTATGTAAATCTTATAGTCGCATAGTATATCAGTAATATTTTCATGTAAGGATGGATTGTTTAAAACAAATTATACCAATATTGGAACCTAATGACTACAAAAAATTTTCTGCATCAATTTAGAGTACTAGCATGTCCTCTTTTAATTCAAAATATTGAATCGTTAACAAATTTCAGTAGTTTTCATACCTCAGACTGACTCGTATAACACAATTATTTGTCTGCATCAGCCAAAACTGACCATATTTGCACTTTATTATGTAAATCTGATAGTTGCATAGTAAATCAGTAATATTTTCATGAAGGATGGATTGTTTAAAACAAATTATAGCAATATTGGAACCTAATGACTACAAAAAATTTTCTGCATCAATTTAGAGTACTAGCATGTGCTCTTTTAATTCAAAATATTGGATCGTTAACAAATTTCAGTAGTTTTCATACCTCAGACTGACTCTTATTAAAAGTTATTTGTTCGCATCAACAAAAACACCATATTAGCACTTTATTATGTTAATCTATATATAGCCGCAGAGTAAATGAGTTATATTTTTATGTAAGGATGGATTGTATAATAAAAATGATAGCAATATTGGAACATAATGACTAAAAAATTTTGTTCCCATCAATTCAGAGTGCCAGAATGATCTTTTATTATTCAAAATATTGAATCAGAAACAAATTTCAGTACTTTTCATACCTCTGACTGACTTGTATAACACAATTATTTGTCTGCATCAACCAAAACTGACCATATTTGCACTTTATTATGTAAATCTTATAGTCGCCTAGTAAATCAGTAATATTTTCATGTAAGGATGGATTGTATGAAACAAATTATAGCAATATTGGAACATAATGCCTACAAAAAATTTTCTGCATCAATTTAGAGTACCAGCATGTCCTCTTTTTATTCAAAATACTGATTGTAGACAAATTCCATTAGTTTTCTTACCTCAGACTGACTCTTATAATAAAATTATTTGTCCGCATCAACCAAAACTGACCATATTATCACTTTATTATGTAAATCTATATAGCCGCATAGTAAATGAGTTATATTTTCATGTAAGGATGGATTGTATAAAACAAATTATAGCAATATTGGAACATAATGCCTACAAAAAATTTTCTACATCAATTTAGAGTGCCAGCATGTCCTTTTTTTATTCAAAATATTGAATCGTAAACAAATTTCAGTAGTTTTCATACCTCAGACTGACTTGTATCATAAAGATATTTGTCTGCATCAACTGACCATAATAGCACTTCATTATGTAAATCTATATAGTTGCATAGTAAATCAGTAATATTTTCATGTAAGGATGGATTGTATAAACAAATGATAGCAATATTGGAACATAATGACTAAAAAATTTGTTCGCATCAATTTAGAGTGCCAGCATGTCCTCTTTTTATTAAAAATACTGATTCAGAAACAAATTTCAGTAGTTTTCATACCTCAGACTGACTCGTATCATAAAGTTATTTGTCTGCATCAACCAAAACTGACCATATT